TACCCTTACCCTCAAAGGACTCATGGTTTAACGCTTTTGGGCCCAAAGACCCTGTTATATAAGGCTTTTGGGCCCCAAGACCCTGTTTTAACGCTTTTGGGCCCCAAGACCCTGTTATATAAGGCTTTTGGGCTATTTTGATGCCAATGTGCGCGGTTCGTGGCCTGTGGGAAAGCACTGTTCGACAGGAACGAAGTGCCTGGGAGCAGACGCGCAACATACGCCAAGCCCTGAGACACCAACAACTCTCCAAAGTCGCCCTAAACCTTATAAACCCTACCTAAAGCCTACACCGACAGTTGAGGGTTTACGGTTTGAGGTTTAACCTAAAATGTCAGTTTGTCGGTGCGCAAGCCCTTTCATTGTAGGCTGCATGCTCCCTGAATCTTCATGTAGACCCTGCTGAATCAACATGTTCCCATCAACAAGGATTCACATACCGATCCTAATGTTAAAGGCCCCTTTGATTGAGGATTATCATAGCCATATACTCTAGGATTTAACCATCGGATAAGGGTTGGGGGGGGGCATACTACACATACTATGATGTCAACAATAATTACGCACTGGGCCACCAGCATCCATGTGATGCCTCTCGTTCACGACGCGACGGCGAACGTGGCGATACCTCATGCTCGGGCGTTTCGTGAACCTCTTCGAGCCGGGTCATGTGTTGAGGCTAACAACCCTGAACCACTGAATCGAAATACCAGCTTAGTACGAAGCTGCAGTGATCTTGTATTAAGAGTAAAGAGAACGACATTCCCGAGCGGCGTACGCGGAAAATGTCTCCCCGCATCCGACATATCCTTTACAGAAAATGCTGCATAACTGTCCTTGGCCAGTTTTTGGGAAAGCAGCTTTCCGCTGGTCCTGGAGCCACCAGTACTTGGGGGTACGCAACTTGGGAGTGTCCTGGTGGTCTCCCGGCGTCGCGGGTGGTCTTTTACTGTTTAGGGATCTCCGGTTGCTGTTGACAGAGCTTTGATTTCATCTGCGCAGCTCCACACCTCAGCACTGAGGCGTTGCCATAGGAAGTTGTAAGATAATGGGGTCCTATAGTAATAGCCCTAAACCCTAAATCCTAAACCCCTAAACCCTAAACCGTCCTAAGCCCTAAACAATAGGCCTTCCGACTTCTCAGCTCTGACCCACCAAAGTGCTGGGCACCCGACGCCGTGCGCCACCAAACACCAGGGGTCGCAGTGCTAAGGACTTTGCTCAACCTCAGCTATAAGTCTGCAAATAATACATGTATCACGAGAATATAAATACATACAGACAGACAGACAGACAAATACAAATACAAAGACAAATACATGCACATGTACACGAGCAGAAAGTAACCTTATGACCTTCTGGAATACAATATGCTATACTATACTCTACTTCACTATGTCACTATGCTATGCTGCAATGTTATACTATACAGAATATAGTGTAAAGAAATCTAATGAAACATATATGCATATATGGATATAGACATACCTACATACCTATATGCATATGCACATGCCTATATACATGCATTCAGACGCGCACACACACACACGCACATACATATATTTATATATATATACATATGTATATATAAAACATTCATGTATGTGTGTATGTATGTATGCATGCATGCATGCATGCATGATATTCTGGTTTAGGCGACAACAGGGGTGCAAACACCCAGACCTCCAAACCCGAAGCTCACACCTTGCGAAGAAGATTGGAAGCCCGTTGAGGGTTTAAGGTTTACCTGGACCTTGAATGACCTACCTGTCTAAGGACTTGCATGAGGGAAGTCAGAATAAGGAGACCGAAAGAGAGAGGTTCTTTAGGGTCTCGTCAGGGGCTACAGTGGCGGCTACAGACTTTTAGGGTCTCAAGGACTTCGGAATGCATGTGCTCAGGATAACAAGGGCCGGTAGGCGCATCTGCTTTGGAACCTTCGGAAGCAGAGGTCCCCTGCGAAGTCCCTCCCTGAAAATTATTACCTGTTTTGGGTTGGGGGTGTTCTGTACTCAAACCTGAAGACTCAGCCCTAAACCCTAAACCGAGCTTAAAGGAACCTTTGCGTGCCTATTCCTAAAGTGCATCTAAGCCCCCATGTAGAATCTAGACCTTCGCTGCGGTGCCAACTTCCAACGACAGCTCCGCACCGATAATTACCCATACTCCCTCACTCAAATGGTCCAGCAAGCAAACAGAACTCCAACGAAGGTAACAGCACCTAAATAAGATCGAGCCTTTTTGAAGGGACTGAGGTAGCTTAGGTCCTTGAAAGGGTCTGTGCGCAACGGGGGTCAGTGCGCAGCTGTCTTGCTTGACCCTCTTCCTCAAGCTTGGGGCCCCCAAACCCTGATACCCAAACCATGCTCCCCCCCCCCCACCCCGAATACAGTATGGGCCCCGTGCCCGCGCAAGCCTGCCTCCCAACATGCCTCCGCACGAAAGCTTGCTCTCGGCAAGTTGATGCACCGTGGCTGTTGCCGGGTGTTAGAGGCTTGCCGGGTCCTATCGGATATGGAAAACCGTGGTCATGCTTCCCGGAGCCAAGAAGCTTCACAAGTAGCCCTAAACGCTAAACCCTAAACCCTCATCCTCACTTTTTTCGCGCTACAGCATGTTACAGCTAGGCTTGATACTTAGAATTGGGTTTTGGGAAGACTACCTGGGTATCCAAAAACCTACCGTTCTTAGGGCTAGACCCTATGTTCACGGGGTCATAACTACTACTATTTCCCAGGGTTTGAGCCCTGGCTCGAGTCCTTCCAGGCGGTAGGGCTGTTCACGACTAATCCTCGAGGGACCCGTCATGTCGATGCTGCTCGGTGACCCGGCTCTCTGTGGCTTGGAATCCGGTGTCTCCTTTGACATTGTGGTTAGCCACGTGAGTGGCAGTATCTTCAAGAGTTTGTGGCATGGGGATTTGTTTTCGTGTCAAGGCCTGGGCCCCGGTACCTGGACCTTGTATGGTTTTATCCTGCACTCCGTCGAACGCAATGTGGGATATTTGAAGGGAACTGAGGAGTCGCGTGCCTTTCGCAGGCCGGAATACTCTGCCGCTTCCTTTCGGACCTTGGTTGAGGTTTGCTCCGGGATTGGTGGCTTCAGCGTCGGAGCTAATTTCCTAGGCTTCGAGACCTTGCTTTGTGTCGATAAAGCTGAGATCGCTTGCGAAACGGTGCGCCTCAATGGAGGCAACGCCTTGCATGGGGATGTTGGCTCGCGCAGCGTGCAGTTGCACATTGCTGAGGTCTGCAAGAATCAGGGACACATCCTTGCCGCAGGGTTTCCGTGCAACAGCTACTCCGTTCAAGGCATGGGCCGTGGATTGCAGGATCCCCGTGGGCAAGTGCTCCTTCACATTTTGCAAGTGGCCTGGCATAACCAATCGCATGGAATCATGTTAGAGTGTGTCGCTGAAGTACAGAAGCATCAGGAAGTCATTGACCTGCTCCAGCAATTTGCCAGCCGAATGCATTTTCATATGTCGCATGTCTGTCTTGAGCTCGGGGACCACTGGGTATCTAGGAGACACCGTTGGTGGTGCATTATGGTGCCGGCCGATTTGCATCCCTTGTGTCTACAGGCTTGGTCTGTCCCTGGGTATAGGCCAGTCATATCGGATGTTATTGATGAGTGGCCTGTCTGGCCCCTGGAACAGGAACGTGCTCTTGCTTGGACGCCCGAGGAAACCCACAAGTTGACCGATCCTACATATGGCTCCGATAACCGCCATCTGAACTTGAATGCGCAGGCACCCACAGCTCTTCACAGTTGGGGATCCGCCCTGCAAGCCTGCCCATGTGGTTGCAGAGCACAAGGTTTCTCCGAGGACAATCTGCGTGCCAAAGGCCTTAGGGGTATAGGGGTTTTTGCGGCCGGCCTTTCGGGGTTTAGGTTCCTTCACGCCGGTGAAGTAGGGTTCCTTAATTCCCTCCCCGCCTCATTTCAGCACCTCGCCGATCCCCGCGCCGCTTTGTGCCTGGTGGGCCAGCTCGCTGCCCCGTTGCAAGTCGTCTGGATTCTTGCACAAGTGCGTGACTGGACCGAGCTTGTCTTTGATCTGCCACGCAGCACTGATCCAGGGGCGCTTCTGGAGGCCTTCAAGCGCATGCTTTTGGAGTCTCGCAAAGATTTCTGGAATGTCCCCTCCCTTGGGCAACCGAGCTCCGTATGGTTCGGTGACGGAGACTCAAGTTTCGAGGTACGCATCCCGGGCCCTACTCAGGTGCAGCACTTCCTTCAAGCTGAGAAATCCCTGCAAGGACCAGGTTGTCGCATCTACATAATGGATGGAGCACGCCGGTTGCCCCCTCGAGCGTTCTTGCACCCTGGCAACGCCACATGCCCCTACACGCTGGTCATTCAGGCTAAGGTTGCCCGCAAGGCCGCCCCTGAGCCACAGGTCTCTGCGTCATCCGCGGCAGGCACCACTGATGTGACAATTTGGGCTGGCCTGTTGCGTCTGCAGGCGGCTACTGCGAGACCTGCCTTTGTGGTTCCTCCTGGGATTGTCGCCAGGTGGCTTTGCATGTCTTGGCTCCACTCTGAGACGGCGGCCGATTTGAATTTCCAGTGGCCGGCATTCTGTCAGACCTGCCTTTTCCCCTTTGTTTCGGAAGGACACTGGTCTCTTCTGGTCCTAGAACGCCCCGAGTCTGCAAACCTCAAGGCCTCCCTCTTTGACGGCATTCCTGGCCGAAACACTGAAGTCGCACAGAACTTGACCAGCCTTATTTGTGCAGCCTGCAATTTGTCGGCCGTTGAAATTGTGACGCCTTTCCTGCCAGTGCAGCAGGACGGTGATCAGTGTGGACCAATGCTCCTCGCCTATGCCGCCCTGGTCCTCGGGCTGGACGCTCCCTTTGAGAAGCTTCTAGACGACGCTATTAGTTTCTGCCGGTTCATGCCCCCACATACTTCTTCGTCCTGCGCAAAAGGCGGTCTCTCTGAGGCTCAACAGGCTACACTTGGCAAGCTCCTGACGGAGCACGGTGTCCCAGAGTCCGCCGTCGCCGATCGAGTGCAGGGGGCCGTGCAAAAGATCGGCGCTGGCATGCTGGCAAAGGCTCTTGTCGCCGACAACCCTTGGCAAGCTCTGAAAGCCGCAGGCTCAACACCAAACGCAATGTTCAGGTGGGTACGCCCCGAGGAACTGAAGGCGCATGCGCAGGCTAGAGCTCAATTGGCGTTTGGGACTGCGGTGGACAACGCTAAGGCCCGCAAGCAGAAGCCTGCCAAGACCACTAAGCCGGTGCTCAATGTGGACCCAGCCACGTTGCAACTTGCTTCAGCCTCCTTCGTATCAACAGAGGGCAATCCTCTTTCTCAGCTTGCCTTTGACGAGGTCGGGCCCCAGGCCTGTGGGATCGCTTTCTGCTCTGCTCAGCAAATGCTTCCCTTCGTTGGTGACTATCGGGCCCTGAGTGTCGATGCCCTTGCACTGGTTTCCACGGCGCCACTGCCTGTTGAAGCATGTTCTGGTGCCCCTGCTGCTAACATCAGGTTTCCTGCCGTCTACTCTCCCACTCAAGAGGCGGTCCTACTCAGCGGGACGATTTTGCAGCTTGGTGACGAACATGTGCAGCTCTCGCCAGCTGATTCGGCCATGGGTGAAGTCGACCAGCTAGATACCATCGTCGGCAGAGTGTCCCTCTTTCGGGATGAGGCCCAGCTAGACTGGGACGTCTTTGTTAAGTCTCCTGTCAAGTGCCTGTTGCAACATGTACAAGGCCTCAACTTGTGCCGGGACACTGGCTGCAAAGGTGATTGTGCTGCGTTCCACCCCGCGGTGGAGGAACACGTGGACCGCATGATTCTGGATGTGTGGGCCCGACAGTTTGCCAGACTCGAGGGTGGCAAGGCCAACCCGGAAACCGCCGAGCTCTTTCAGGCCTTGATTCGTGTGCCGAGCTCCGCTGCCAAGCACCTTCAACATGTTCATGTGGCCGGGTTCTATTTTGAGCCTCGTGCGGCCAACGGCTTTGGCCCACACCCTTCATACGCGGTGGTATGGCTTCCCGGACATGACAAGGCGCAAGCTTCCCACCTTCTGAGGACATGTGACAAGGCCATCGGTTTGGCCAGGTTGGGCTCTAAATACGGTCTCCGGGTGCTGGATGAACACGAGCAGGCAGTGTTTGAGGCATTGCGGCCCCAGCAGACTTTTGTTAAGGTCAAGGTTCTCTCGAAGTGGCGGCTTCATCCGCTTCCGCACGGAATGCAAAGGCATGCATTGGTCCAGCTGCTCGGCAAATGGAAGTGGGCTGCCAAGCCGCTGCAGCCTTGTAAAGGTGACTCCTCCGGTTGCGCTTGGGAAGTTGGCAGCGCAGTTGACCCGCCCGCCTCCATCATGCAAGCAGGCGAGGCCTTTGTCCTGATCCATAAAATCCGTGACGTTGGCCAGCCCTCCAAACCGGAAGCTCTCTGTGCCTCCAGCCGCACTCGCCGGCGCATCTTGTATGACGACCCTGATGTCCCACAATCTTCCACAGACCCCTGGTCCGGGGGACGCGATCCTTGGAGCCAGGCACGCCTCCCACCAGGTCTCCCGGCTCCAGTTGTTCCTGCTGCGACGGGTGCTGCTCAGCCTTCGGCTGCGGTCAGTAAGCTTACACAGGTCAAGTCGGAACTCCAGGCAGGCTTGGCGACCTTGGTGCGCAAGGAAGTGCATGCTGCCACTTCATCCGCTGCCACTCCGAATACTGCTCAGGATGACCGTATCCAGAAGCTCGAGGTCGGTTTGAATGAAGTCCGGATGCAAAACAACAAGTTTGAGGAGTGGTTCCAGACCTTTGGCACCCAGATGCGGCAACAAGCTGAACATGTTCTTGAGGTGCAGCAAACTGTGAAGTCCCAGCAAAGCGAGCTTGGTAATCTTCGGTCCGAGGTCACATCTTCAATTGCCCAGGCCCTCACTAGTCTTCGCAGCGATATGTCACAGCAGCTCGCAACCCAGACTGCCTCTCTCGAGGCAATGCTGTCCAAGAAGCACCGTACTGAGTGACTAGGTCACTCCGGCTGCCAACTCGGGTCACGTGGCAGGCCGGTCTCACGACAGTCCTCCCGACTTCTTTGGATTGTTTCATTGCTTAGTGTCTTCGCTGCTCCAGTCAGCGCTTGCGCACATTTTCCGTTCTGTCGCTTTGGGGAAGCGACCAACCCTGGCCCTGGGCCCTTGATCTCCGTGGGTACTTCAAACCCTAGCGGTCTTCGCAACAAGGAACAGTTGATTGCAGATCTGGGCCCCGGGGTTTGGCAGTTCTCGGAGACACAGCTCTCCGCAGTTACATTGCCTGCATCTTCTCGAGCCCTCAAGGCCCTCACACGGGCCCAGCACCGTGATGTGCGCATTTTTGCTGGGGCCCCGGCCCCTTTGCGTCCCGGCTCGCACTTTGCGGGTTCGTGGACTGGTGTGCTCACTCTGAGTGACTTCCCATGCCGCCCCGTGCAGCTGCAATGGTTGCACGACTCGTTCCACACCGGCCGCGTACAGGCCTTGCACCACTTTGTGAATGATACGCCCATTCTTACAGCCAATGTCTACGGCTATCCATCCGGAAAGACCTTCACCGATGCCCGCGCCCGCACCGAGCGACTGCTGGAGACTTTGACTCATGAACTGGTGTTGGGCCGCAAGGGCATCCGCATCATATCCGGAGATTTTAATCATTGGCACGCCCAACTTGATCAAGTGACAATCTGGAAGCAGCAAGGTTGGGTTGAAGCACAAGACTTGGCTGAGCAGCGCTGGCAACAGCCACCTGCTCCTACTTGCAAAGGCTCCACACATCGGGATTTCATCTTCCTCAGCCCAGAAGCTGCAGCACTTTGTGAAGAGGTTCGCGTGCACGATGTTTTCGCTGAGCATGCTACTGTAATCGCCGGGATTCGGTTGATTGGGGTTCCTCGACTTCAATCCTGGCCTCTCCCTGCCGCGATTCCTTGGGAGTCCGTTGATGTTCCCGCCTGGACTCGGGCTTGTGATACCATGCCTATTCAGGAAGCCTGCTCTACCCGATGGCTTAAGTCCTTTGCGCAAGGTTTTGAAAACAGTCTGAATGGCTACGTGACTACGGCCCCTGCTGGACAACTGCCCCACCGCTGCTATGGTCGCGCCAGTCGGCTCTCTCCTGACATGCCAGCCCAAGTATTCCCGCCGAAGCCGGCCCGCCCAGGTGAAGAGGCGATACACCACGACCTTCTGTCTCTTGAGGTTAAGCGCTGGTACCAACAACTCCGCAGACTGCAGTCCCTTGACCACGCCATGCAGGCCGGCAGCCAGTCCCACAATGCTGTTGAACACCGCTTGGGTTTGTGGCGTTCAATCCTGGGTGCCAGGGGCTTTCGTCCTGGCTTCCAACACTGGTGGCCGTCCCGACCAGTTCAGCTTGCCGGCTCCCCACGTGACTTCCCCGCCTTGCTTCCGTGTGCGGCGGTCTGTCATCTGCTGTTTCTAGACTTTCGTGACAACTACAGCAAATTCGAGGCGTGGAACGTTCGCCAGCGGCGTGCCATTTTGGCCGAGCAATATGCTCACAATCATAATCTCCTGTTCCGTGATCTTCGTGACCCCAAGCCCGAACAGGTTGATACTTTGGAGTTGAAGCGATCTTACTGCGTTCTTGCAGTGGACCCGCCCACCTGTAGCGTGCACCTCGACTCAAAGATTGAAACACGTGGCTGCAGCCAATGGCAGCTTGATGGGTGCACTGTTCAGGTCGAGGTTGTTGCCGAGGACGTCTGTTCCATTAAGGATTGCCCGGCTCTGCATGCCGACGCCGAGCTTGAACAAACTGTTGTTCTTTCCTCGGCCTCAGACGTACAGTCAGAATTCGAAAACCTTTGGTCACAGTTTTGGCAGCGCCACGCTGACCCTACCCAGGTGGATTGGTCCCGCGTCACGGCTTTCGCAGAAGCCTACCTTCCACGTGGTCAACTGTCTCTTCCCCCGATCTCTCTTGAACAGTGGCGTGGCGCCTTGCGGCGCTTCAAACCGCAAGCTGCCAGAGGCCCTGATGGCTTCGCGAGGCTTGATTTGCTCAACATGTCTGATGCCCATGCCTCGCAATTGCTGGACTTCCTGACCGACATTGAATCAGGGGTGCGCTCGTGGCCGGAACAGTGGCTCGTCGGCCTGATCTGTTGCTTGAAGAAGCCCAATGACAAACAAGGTCCGAATGGTTACAGGCCCATCTGTCTGCTCAGTTGCGCTTACCGAGCCTGGAGCGGCCTGAGAGCCCGGCAGGTCCTTCGATGGTTGGTCGATTTGATGCCCGATTCAGCGCTTGGCTTTATGCCTGGCCGCGAGGCAGCACAGTTTTGGTACGTGTTGGAGGCCCAAATTGAGCTGGCGTGCCAATATGACCTTCCTTTTCTGGGCTACTCTGCAGATGTTGTCAAGGCCTTTAACTGTTTACCACGTTGGCCAGTGATCCAGATCGCACTTCAGATTGGTCTCCCGGCCAGTTTAGTGCAGCCCTGGACGTCTTTCTTGGATGGATTGGAACGGCGTTTTCTCATCCGAAACGCCGTGGGTCAGTCCCTCCGTTCGACTTGCGGATTCCCTGAGGGCTGTGCACTTAGCACGGTTGCCATGAGCTTGGTCTGCCTTTGCTTTCATGCTTATATGGACGCGTTCAGCTCCGGCGCCGTTGCACAATCTTATGTGGATAATCTCGCATGCACCGCCTCCACGGTCGGTCAGCTCACTGCAGGTGTGAATGTTTCACGCACCTTTCTGGACATGTTGGGGCTCTCCCTGGATTCTGAGAAGACGTATACCTGGGCGACTCAATCCAGCCATCGTGCCCAGTTGTCTGTCTTTGGCCTCCAGGTCCTGGACCACGCCTCGGAGCTAGGCGGTGTCATCAGCTTTGGCCGAGCGACCCGCAACTCTGTCTTGGTGCAGCGCTGTCGTAACCTGGGTCCGTGGTTCGATCGTCTTCGACGCTCTCCGAGCAACTTGCATTTCAAGCTGAAAGCCCTGCCCGCGAAGTTCTGGAGCCACGCCCTACATGGCATCTCAGGTTGTCCTTTGGCCACCTCCGTTTTGGCCAACCTGCGTGCGCAGGCAGTTCGGGCTTTACGTATGACTTCGGCAGGCTCCAGCGCCATGCTACGGCTGTCCACTTCTGGGACGATCGAAGCTGACCCAGGCTTCTTTGAGCTCTGGAGCACTCTGCGTGATTTGCGTCGTCTGGCGGCCAAAAGCCCTCTGATTCTCCCACTGTGGATGGATTTTATGTCCAACTTCCAGGGTAATCTGCAACACGGCCCTTTCTCGAAGCTGCTGCAGGTTTTGGGTCGGGTAGGCTGGTCCATTGGAACACCGCCTTGCATCTCTGACCACACAGGCATTCAACATGATCTGCTGCATATGCCTCGTGCTCTGTTGCGCCTGTTGTGTGAAGAGGCATGGCTTCATCATGTTGCGACGCAGCACCGACATCGACGTACAATGCATGATCTGAACGGTTTGGACCGCTCGCTGTTATATGCAGACATGAGCCGGCTTGGTCCTCTGGACCAGTCCCGTGTGGCCGCGCTGCGCAGCGGTGCTTTCATGTTTGATGCTTGTCACGCTCGCTATGACAACAGTCTGGATGGCCTTTGTCATAGGTGCAGGGTGCTGGATGATCATGAGCATCGTGCTCGCCACTGTCCGAGGTTTGCTGCGGCTCGTGAGCCTTTCCAATGGGTTTGTGACGCATGGCCTGCTTTGCCATGCTGTTTAACACATCACCTGTTGCCGCCCGGCAACCCTTACTTGGTCCCACTTCGCAGTTGCCTTCTAGCGCAGCCCGATCATTCGGCTCAGTTCGCTTCGACGGCTTGTACCGAGGGATTTCAGCATCTTTTCTGTGACGGGTCTTGTTTCTTTTCCAGGGATCCTACGCTTGCACTTGCCTCCTGGAGCAGTGTCAATGCCAACACCGGCCTCATTGTGGCCTGTGGCCCAGTGCCCGGCATTTTGCAGTCGGCTCCACGTGCGGAGTTGTGGGGTGCCATTGCCTCTCTAAAGTGGGGCGTCTACCACGACGCTCCCGTGACGCTGTGGACTGACTCGGACATGGTGGGGCGCGGACTTCGCAAACTCGTCGGTGGGACTGAGCTCACACCTGCAGACAATGCTGATCTCTGGCAAACCCTGGAGGAGCTTGTTCGTCTGTATCCTGAGGGACATCTGGTGATTCAGCACGTTCCGTCACATGTGGACTCAAACCAGAGCCGCTCCCCTTTCGAGGACTGGGTCATTGAGTGGAACCATCATGCAGACACTCTTGCTGTGCTGGCCAATATGAACAGGCCGTTGGATCTGCGCCGGGTGCATGAGCAGGCCATTGGTTGGCATAACTATATGTTGGAAGCCTCGCGAGCTCTTCGTGGCCTTTATATGGGCATCGCCAACGAAACATTGCCGAACCGGAACCGTGATGCGTCGAAGCACGACACGGATGAGAACGTGCCCTCGCTGCAACCCCCGACTGAAGCATTCGTTGAGGACTTTGCGGACTCACTCCCGATTGCGTGGCGACAGGCGGTGGTTTCGGCATGCCCAGATCTGCCGCCTGGTTATGTTCTTGCCCTCGCTGACTTTCTGCTGCCACAGGCCCAAGCTTCCGCATCTTGGCGCGCAGTTTCCTGGCTCGAGTTCGTCTTCATGCTACATGAGAGTGGTGAGCCGAAGTTTCCAGTGCGATCGTTGTCATCTGATACGTGGCAGTCTTCGGAGCATGTGCCGCTGGGCGCCCCAGCGTTGACGGTTGCTGTACAGTTAGGGTTAGTTCGCAAAGCGATGCGCCGCATTTTCAAAGCCTTGCAGCGGGACGACCTGTGGATTGATATGATTTCTTTGAGTGACTTCGGGGTGTCTTTTAGTGTTAGTGGGGTTCGGTTTGCGGTCGATGCTTCCCTTTTACAGGCTGCTCGTCGTAGGCTTCTTCAGTTTTGCGCTGGACGCAAGATCAGTACAGTTGGCGATCTTGCCAGATTAGCGTGAGACCTTGGCACTGCCTCTTGTGTCTGGCACGGGCCTCAGGGTCTGTATAGATGTTTGTCAGACTGAACTCGGACCGTCGCTCTCGACTCCGCTTGCGCTGAGTCAGAGCGTCCCAGCAGTGTGCGCTATTTCCCAGGGTTTGGGGATACAGGTAGAGCATAAACCCTAAACCCTAAACCCTAAGCCCTAAACCTTAATAACTATAATGAGGAACCCTGCGGAATGATATTGGCCATCGTTCAAGCCAGGGTCGCCGAGCCCACCCCACAAGTGCGCTACCGTTTCCCTGCTTCGAAGGTTTTGGGTACTTCAAAAACAAAGAGTCTAATTTTGGGGTGCTCAGGTTTTATGGCTTTGATATAACACCCACCCACTCAGAGAATCCCATAACATTAAGAAAATGCAAA